AGTCCTCAATGAATACATCGCAAGACTTCATTGTGTCTTCTAGTATAGTCATGATATAACATTTTCTCATATTGCGTTGCTAGATGGTCCACCGTCTTCACACGTTGCCTACAATATTGGCACATACCTTTCTCAGCTCCAAACACATTTCTGTCTTGAAAGTGACAGTATCGCGCCATGCTTTGGGATAATATTTCCAAATCGTAGCCACATTGATGAATTTGACATTGAGGTAGCTCATTTCTACGCATCTTGTATAGCTTTGCATGGCGAGTTTTCTTTTCCATTTCGCTATAGTAGATTGGATTTTCTACGAGGTTGTATTTAGTCTGAAGGTAAGGTACGATAACTGCTAAGTACGTATTGTGAGTCTTTTCCTACTTCAATTTAAACCTCTAATTTATAAATATATAGGGGATTTAAAATGAACAAAAAAATGTTTTAAAATCGCAAAAATCAGAATTAAATGTAGTTGAAACAATGAATCTTGAGCATTCCTCATCCCACAGCTCAACCATCACTAACTGACAAGTCTAACTACTCTACTACTAACTGAAAAAATTTACAAGATGGGAATGCTATGCATAATAATGAAACAGGTCAAAATATGAAAAATGTTTACAGCTGAAATCTCTTTTTAATCTTAGTTGAGTTATATGACTGAAGTCGCTTAAATAAATAGATTCCAGTACAAACAATGCAACGAGGTCGACCGTGATTCAGCGAGATCGGTGAACACGGCAGAGGATATGATGGTTTCTACATACAACACATCCAGCGATCTCGAACCATAAAAAAAGGAATGAAAAAGTAAGAAAATGGTGACATTAGTACGGTGAAATCATTAAAAAGGAACAGAGCCAGAAGTGATGTGGTGTCTTCGCTAAAAAAAGGTACTTGAACATTGTGATTGGCTCAGGTTTGTAATCGGAATGCGACAGGCTTTCAAAATAAATTCTCAGCAATTATGTGGGATAAATATGTGTACCGATTGGTCCGCGTCTTTAAGGCTTTTATTGTGGCAAAGTGTTATTTTGTGGAGACGGATCAGAATTCCTGAGCATTTTTGGCCATGTAGAATAGCTCAAACAACTTATTTTGTTCTGTTGATGGAATTCTCAAGCGAACAGTACATTTTGATTAAGGAAAGTGACATTGCATCAAGAAACGATGGCTTTGCTAAGTAAATTTCTAGTTGACACACTTGGATTAAGCATTCACAAAGCCACTTGTTATGAAGTGGTGCATACATGGAATCCAAATTGTTATGGGGCGATTGCTGATACATGGTGCGATGGGTGGATATTCGCTCTTAAAACGTATCTTGTCCTTTATGGTGTAAGTTCTCAGTGTTTAAACTAAATGACTGCATCTCATTTGGTATTTCGGTTACTGATTAGCCATTTGAATGCAACAGTTTAATTTTTTTTTCATTTAATAAATATTAAGAATATCAATTTGCCCACTTTTTATTCTTGACAGTAGAAATAACTCACTCAAAAATTTGAAGAATTTATCATCATTTATGATATATTGCAGTTTTTGAATTGGTTTATTTTAGATGTAGGAATAATCAGTTTTAATGATCTTCCATATTTAATAGAGGCAGCTGAAAATAGAATCAGATATTTTTGAAGTTGAAGAAAGTTAACTTTAAAATGCGACCTCATATTTTGCAGGGTAATTCCTGTTATGGACTTCAACTATTTTCAGTTCTCTAGCATTTTTTTGGTGAAGAATGTACGGAAAATTCGTTGGTGTCAAATTTTATTTGATTCATTTCGGTCTTCATGTTTCTTAATGACGAACTTAATTGTGTTCCTGTGGCTGATGTGTCAATTAAGGTTTATGATGTGTCATTTAACATCGTTAAATTTTTATTCTTCAGATTTAAATTTATTGTATTTGTGCGAGAGATTTTCTTTCCTCTCCAGAAAGATGCTGGGATTTTTCACTATTCCTACTCTTGGTTTTATGAATGGCGTTATTTCTTCGTTGTTAGCTATATGGATTGAAAATCACAGGCGTAGATCATTGCTGGCTTTACATTTAACGAACCTGGTGTGTTGGTTTATTTTGAAAGAGTAACCAGTTTAACAGTTTTTCTAGTCAGGCAGCTAACGTGCTGAAACTGCATCGTATTTTGATAATAAAATTATAACAATGGATTTTGCTATCACTGTCAAATTACAACTATTCTCGACTTTATCTTTTCATTGAACCATCAGTAAAGTGGTATTAAATATTGCATTTGGCAATCAAACTGTAAGATTAAATAGATACAAAATAACCTTATTCTGTCCTTTCGTTTAAAATTGTTAGCTGTTAAAAAATCATCTCTTCGACATTTGAACTAGCTGAGGGCCAAACCTTATCCTTATAATGATGAATAATTTGAAAATTGGATTCAGTGCAGTGAATAATATTTTAAATACTAAACAAATTTCTGCAAGAAAGTTACTCGCATTTTCTAGATATTTCTCGGTAATTGTAAGAGTTACTACTGCAGGCATCAGAAACAGCTTATCACCAATTAGTTAATCATGGTTATCTTAAGTACGTACCAAATGGAAGCATTATCATATTTGGGATCGGTCTCTCAGGATTGCTATACTTTTATCATAAAGATATGCTTTACAACAATTTAAGTAAAGCTGTAGAGTATGTTTCACTTGTGTCAGTTACTTTATTAATTATTTGTATGTTTTGTTTTTTAATTAGTGTGTGAAAGAATATTGCAAACGTTATAGAAAGGTGAGGGAGGACTCTGCCTCCTTTCAGTGTCTGGTTCAGTTATCATACAATAATTAGGTTTGCCCTTACAGACGGCGGAGTTTGCGCATAAACAAAAAACTTCTGCTCACTAGTGGGGCGAAATTAAATCTGAGATATGTCATTCCATGATATGGTCTAAAATTTTAGCCATGTCTTATCTCTCTTTCTACCTCACATGCAGTCGTTTGGATCGCTATATTACTGTATACAGTTAGTAGTACCCACGTCTTACTAGAAATTTGGTGCCAGGAAAAATTATTGAATAGGGAGGTACATGGTTTTCAAATGGTATCATGTAAATGTCAGCACTGTTGGTAAAATTTTTATCAGTAGGAAAAATGTGCTGACTTGCTTTCTAGAAAACTTGAAATTCTGTAGTCTTAGAATTTAAATCACACTCAATATAACTAAAAATTCATTATTTGGAAGGTATTTATTTCAGTTTATAGATACACTTTGCTGACGAATGGAAGCGAAGAATTATTCTCTCAACAAGTCATACAAAGAATTTACTCTCCAGTTGGCACCGCGTTGCTAGTATTACGGCACAAGTTTCGAAAGCATCGATTATGTAGGCATCAATATTCATGCATTAGTCGTATTGTTGAAGTGAGCACTTATTCTTAAGAAACATAGATCCACATAACATATGTAGCATGCTTGCAGTTAAAATAATATATCGACTTCTGTTTTTAAGCAACAAATAAAATCTAACTTTAATTCGACAGAAGAAATTCAAAAAAACAAAAGAATTTATATCATTAATTATGGCCATCTTTAACTGGAGTTTTTGGAATAATGAAGAGACTTCAAATGTAAAATTTCGATTTTTGTACCATATTATTTCTTTTCTAACAATTTAACAATTGATTTTTGTGCTGGCTGTTATCGAATGATTTCTGGCTTTATCGTTCGTTTCAAATCTTATGTTTTTAATAATTATTCATGTTTCAGGTATTTCTGAAGAATTTTTCTCGAGCGTTGGTTTGCAGTGTTTGTTTGGTTATTTTCAATGGGGTAAAACAAATTCTTGGTAAGCCGTCTATGTTGTTCGAACATATTTTCAGATTTAATACGCTACGTCTACCTTTATTTTATGGATTTTTGGGGCTTTTGTTTCAAGTATGTGTTATCTTCACATTATTAATATCATTACAAATTTTTACATGTGTAAAAGATTAGTATAGTTGAGCAGAAAACGTCTATGGTGCAGTCATTTTGCATTTCAGACTTTTGATTTCTTTTTTGGATTTTGAAAAAGCAATTTTTGTATAAAATGTAGAAATTCAGGGGCTGTGGCTTGTCAAAAATATCTTGTTGCAGTTTCAGATGGACATCTTGTTTATAGCTTGATAACTGTCGTAATATCGTTGGTTATTTTGTGTTCCAGACTTCGAGATGTGGATACAGTTGGTTCACAAATCAAGCTGCGCCGCTGCCTCTATGTGGTGCACTTAGCAGTTTGGCGTTTTTCTTATATCCTAACATTTCAGTTGCTATGTACGTGTTTTGGAAATTCGTAGAGGTTAGTTTATTTTTTTTTACTTTTTCTGGACAATGGATTTTCGGCAACAGTAAGGAAAATCGCCAAGTATTTCAGGTCGTTTTTTTTTCGTATTGCAAGAAAATGGTAGTACCTTATGGAAATATAGCTTTATATGCGCTCTCGACAGGCTACATTGCCTGGAATGCAACTATTGAACCGCAAACACTCCGAGAAGGATATTGGAAATTTCTTGTTGGACTTACGGGTAGTAGGTTGGGCATTTTTGTTTCAAATATAAACTTGGGAGTGACGTATCTACCATGATATGGTTTTCACAAATTTATTAGTTGACCAAGAAAGTATTCGAAAAATCTAAGTTTAGTATTATTGTTTCATGTATTTACGGTATTTTCAGAAAATAAAAAGTTTTAATGTTTTAGGATAAATTTATTAAATAGGCAGTTGTTGGATGAATTTGGATACAATTCGTCGAGGAAATTTCCAAATTTTGTGCCCAGGCTAGATGCAAGATTTACATCACTTTCTAATATGTAATCTCATTATTGTTATGTGGTATCTTTAATCTTTTTTGAGTCATTTGATAGTGTACTACTGTGTTCAGCGGTCACTACTTTGCTTTTTAAATTTATACAGTAAGTGAGAAGAGGTGCATTTATTCACTTTGACGGGTTTCTAATTTATGTAATTTAGTGTCTAGACTCTGATTGATTTGCATCAGACTTAATTCTTCATTAATGTCATTTTCATGTGTTGTTCGAATTTTTGGAAGTTTTTGAGTGCTTGGCTTGGTTATTTTTTAGTTACTGAATGTCTTGTATACTTTATTATTCTTTTTTTGTCGCATCTAGCAGTATTGCGCTTAGAATTTAAATCGCTTTTTTAAGATATTATTACTCGTTTTTCATATCAGAATTACTTTCTATTTCCTGAGCATAAGCATATACTCTTCACAGTGACCTGCTTAATAAACTTTTTTAATTAGGATGGCATTGTGCTCAAGTTTTGAAACCAAACGTCAAGTTTTTGTCGGATAATTTGCGGCGACGTATCCCGTCTGATGTAAGTCAACTCCTCACCATTTTATATTGCATTGAAGTCCACTGCTTTTTATTGTAGTGCATTATTTAGCTTAACGAAAGCTGTTTTTTATTTGCTCAGAATGTGTTGTCTAATGAATGTTTCTTACATTCACTAATATCATTTTGTGAATGATGTACATTTTTGCAATAAGTTTCAACTTCTATCATTGGTTCTTAATGTTTCTTATGGAATTTCACGGAGGTAATAATATAAGTGGGTTGCATGGAATAGAGTTGATTTGAGTTCCTAATGTGTACTGATTCACTTAATTAATTATTGGTTTCCTCGTTTTTTATTAGATAAGTTTCAGTTAGTTTGATTCGGTTGCTCTTTATCGTTTTGTGTTCAGCTGTCAGTTATTTTGTTCGAAGAACTAGTTTAAATGACATCAAGGAATATTTATACACAATATGTTCTAGTATTTATACAAAATGAGTACTGGAAGTCTGGCTGGCGAATTACTTTCCTGTGTATTAGACTTCATTTCTAAATATAATTTCTTGTATGATCAACCGAACATCAAGTTTTTGTCGAGTGAATTGTGGCGACGTATTCCGTCTGATGTAAGTCAACTCTTTACCTTCATTTGCATACTGCATTGAAGTTCATTGATTCCTACTGTAGTGCATTATTTTACTAGAAGTTGTCAGTTACGATGCCTTGCATGGTAATGCATAGAGCTCTCTGCATATCGCCAGGTTCAACAGTTCCTCTTCTTTCGTACCTTGAACCTGGCTAACTGTTTCTAGCTGGTTGTCTGCAAGTATTCTCGTTGCAACATCTAACACATTTCGTTCTGATTGTGTAGAGTTTTTACGTATTTGGCCTATAGTCGTTACCTTTGTATGAAAAACTTTTTTGATCAGGTAGTTAGTTCCACTTGTAGAATCAATGAGTTATGTGGTAAGCAATTTTGACAATCAGTAGTGATTGGCATTAAGTAGACAGCTAAGTTTGAGAGTTCACTTAAGTAACGAAATATATATAAACTTGGTTTAAAGTCACCGAAGTGAATTATTTCAGTGGTTGATGTATCTCGAAAAATTAAGCAATGATGAACTCAATATGTTTCCATTCGAGAAACCGAAGCCAGTAATTATTCGCCTCAACAGTTTTATTAGAACTATTTTAGTGTTGAAATCTAATGCTTTGTTGTACTCATACCAAAAGTTTTGGTGTGAAAATTGAGATTAAAGTGGAGGGAATTTCATTTTATTTTTTAAAAGGGTGGGTTGTGATTTTGTTTCCTAGAACCACATCGTTACATTAGCTTTACTATCATTTTTATTGGTAAGTTTTGTTTCAGCATTGCCCTGAAACTTTGCTCAATTTTCATACTCTCAGTAATGAGGTATCATATCGACTGGCTGCATTTTGCGGGACAGCTGATAATTTGTTGCAATTACCAGGGCATCACATAGTTAAAGTAATGAGACCGATGTCTGCAAAAAAAAGACATGAAGTCGAGAACTTTACAGTTTTTCTGAGAGAATATTGTAAACAGTACAACATAAATCGGATTGTTGACGTGGGATGCGGAGTGGTTAGTTCACTGAAATGTTTAGATATTTTTCAAAAATTATATTTGGTGTATAGTAAAAAGTGGTTGCATTGACTCGATGCTTGTGGAAAGTAATTAAGTTTGGTTCTGGTTTTATTCTGTGGGCATTTGCTTTTCGAGCAAGCTTTTTTCCTTTATCGAATCCGTATGTTCGAAACTTTTTCATGGTCATTTGGTCAATCAGTTGGCTCGTTATTACAAAGTTGTTGGAATTGATTGTGAAGAAATATTATGCGATCGTGCTAGGAAGTCTTGTGGTGAATTATCATTGTTTGGAAAAATATTTTGTGATTTCATTCAGTGCATCTCTTTATCATTTTCTTTGCAGTATATGCCGAAATTGTTTGTCTTAATATGGTTAAGGATGACAAAGAAGATCAGAAGCTTATAGAATTTTTTTCAGGCGATCAAGTTTGAATTTTATTTTCATTTTAGATAGCGTTATTTTCTTTACCTTGTAGGATTTTATTAAAAATGTTAAAGCAAAAAAACATGAAAATTTTTGTTTGTTTAGAATTTTTCCGTATCGAGAAATATCTTTTATTCATGTATGCAGCAGAATCATATTTTTTGCATGATTTCGAAATCAAAACATATAGGAATTAGTTTTTTCTCCAAATATTTTCATACTGAGTATAACTATTTCAGAATGACCTAACAGCTATTGTTTCTCTTCATGGGTGTGGCGATTTGCAACCGATGCTTTTACGTCTCTTTTGCAAATTGGATCGCAAACGAGTACCCCTACTTTTTACTATTCCTTGTTGCTATCACAAAATGTCAGATATAAGTGAGTTCAGTCGATATTCTCATCTCGCGATTTATATTATGTAAATATCAGGCTCATCAGGCAAGGATTTTGATAAGTAGGAAGATGGAATTACTTTAGTTTAGATGGAGCATCATGACATGAGAGAAGAAAAGCTTTTATAAGTAAGCAACTTTAGTTTTTGTTTAGAGCAAGAAATGTTTCAATGGATTATGAGTGATGAAATGAAGCAGAAATCTATTTCCTGCAATGTATTTCCAGTGAGTGCACTAAGATTGGCTAGTCAAAAGCATATTTCAAGGTTAGCAAAGAAATTTTAAAGAAGTATGCCTTTGTTTATATGTCTTTCATAGTTTCTGTGATATGCAGCATTGTGTGGCATTACAGCTGGTCATGTTCTGAAAAAGATCGTGAAAAACATAAGAAAGGTTTCATCGATCGAGCTCTTTTGGAGTGCCTATATGACAAGCGAAGTGGTGATGATTTAATTTCCTATAACCAAGTTGATGGGAGAAATTTAACAGACGGACATATTTGAATAGTTTCTAAACTGCGAATTTCTCTCTCTCTATATATGCTCAGTAATATTTATCTACGAATGTCTAATATCATCCTTTGTCATTCCTAAGCTGTACTTCAAGATTAGAATTTTTGATTTATTTCAAGTCTGAGGATTCATTTGCAGTTCTCTTCTGGTAAAGAAGGCATTTCAGACCTAAGACCACTTGCATGTCGGAAGCTAAATCGTCATTTCACAGCTTTGAAAAATATTGGTTCTCAATTAGCATCCCGATTACTCATGGACGAAACACGGGCTTTAAAAGTTGAGCAGCTTTGGAAAGAGATCTATACGAACCAGGAACCTTATTTCACATATGTTGAAGTCTTTACAGTCCGGATTTGTTAATTTTTGTTTTCATTTTCATCTAAAATTTTTTATAGTTTGCAAATATTTTAAGAGCTCTCCCAAAGATCTAGTACCTTTACTCATATTTTTGATTAATTTTTTCAGCTTCTTCAGACGATGATACAAATACCAATGGAAATGCTGGTTTTGTTGGATCGTATATTATTTTTGATGCAGTATGGCTGCTCTGCAGAGTTATTTTCTATATTTAATCCAAAAATTTCTTCTAGACATCTGTGCATCGTCGCTTCATAAAAATTCGAAAATCTTTTGCTACTGCACTATTAGGAATTTGACTTAACTAAAAATTAAAGTGATCTATTTGTTACATGATGTTTATCCTATAATTTTTCGATGACAATTCTGTCATGGTTAAATTTGCCCAAATTCCAGGTTTTGTTATCAGAAAATTTGAATTCCTGTAAATTGCAATTGAAATTTGTCACATTTAATGGTTTTGTGGACTAATATTAAGTGATCAATATTATTTTCATTTATATTTTGTGATGTGTTCAGCAATGGCCATCTGATTTGTGATGAAGAAGTGTTCGGGAAATTTGTCAGAAAAAATAGTCCTTAATTTTATGCTGCATGTGAATTATATTAGAGATTATTACAAAAACTTGGTGTACTGACGCATTCAGCCTGTATAATAATATTTAGATTTTCAAGATCGTATTTAAACTGTCATCGAGTAAAAAGTTATTGATTTTGGCGGTATAATTCAACTTCTTAATACGTAGTTTGATTGTTCTTTATGTGTATTCAACACGGTATTAGGTTTCATTTTCATATATCCTACCCATACCTGATACATTGCAACTTCGTTTGTCATAATTTAGTCAAGTTTATCTTTTATTTTTTTCATATATTTTTGAGACTGATTTAAATGGATGCATCGTAGGACCTCATTGTATCTTCTAGTATAGTCGTGACGTAAAACTTTTTCGCACTGTGTTGATAGATAGTCCACGGTCTTCACACGTTCCTCACAATGCTGGCACATACTTTTCTCAGCTCCAAACATTTTCTAGCTCGGAGGTTACAGTATCGTGCTTCATCTTGCAAGTTATTGATTCCGTATCGTAGCCATTTTGATGAATCAACTATGGACGAGATTTTATTCGTCCGTATCTTATATTGCTTTGCATGGTGGGGTTTCTTTTCTATTTCGCTGTACAAGAACGCCTTCTGGGCTACTAGTACGTTTTCAACGGTAGAATTTTCTGCGAGGTTGTACCTAGTTTTTAGATAGGGCACAATAATTGTCAAGTATGTGTTATCAGCTTTCTTCTGATTCAGAATCGCTGCCCTTGTGGTACAAATGGGTGCGGTATCTACAAGAGCATTATGTAGTTGAAGAAGCATAAGCTCACTCTTTTGCTCAACATTATGAAGTCCACGTCCCAGCTCGTTTTTCCATTCATAAAATATGAAAAGTTATGACACACGATTTTATGGATATTAACTTTTGAAAAGCCAGCCTCAGAAACTTCTGAGGTTTGTAAAGGCTGAATCAAAACTTAGTTTTTTAGTTGCAACCGTCATTTAGACAAATATGGAATCACTTCTTGATTTAAAGATTTCTCACGTTGAGTAATCATTAATGTAAATTTTTTCAGCAAAAGGGATTCAAGACTGAAAATAAGGAAAAAGGAAATATGTCGAATATTTCTGTTACTGTAATTTGATAATGATGTTTGAATGACAATAAAGTCAATCGATATCCTTTTAATTTTTTCCTATTCGTTATGCACATCTAATTTTCTGTTTTGTGAACAATTTTAGTTGAAACAAATCGGATAATAATAAAAGTAAGTTATAACTTTAAATTTTACAGTTTGTCAGAATTAGCTTGTTGCAAATTATGGCTAATTGAAGCGTTACTTAGTTTCACCTATTTTTTATATATTAAAAATATTGACTATTGAATCGAGTCAGCAACAAACTATTTTATAGACGCAAGTCCTAAATCTACTCAACTGTACAGTATTGAGTAGAAGTTTATATTTCTTAGGAAAAATTTGACTTCGTTAAATGAAAAAATTAGCAAAAATTTTTGTCTTTATGCTAAATAATTTGAAAAGCGAAGTAAAGAGTGTACATGTAGATAAACTATTTTGACATTTATAAAAGGACAGCATTAAGAAGGAGTGTGAAAGGAGCAAAAATTTAGCCAAAAAGTTTACGCAACTTCAATAAGTAATTCTCTTTCCACAATGGTTCACTGTTGGATTATTCTGGTTTTGCCAATTTTGAAAGGAGACCTCCTTTATTTACAGTAAATATCAGAATGTTCCTCATCCATAATTTTTCTTTTCATTCATGCTACTTTATTTCTTAAGACATTTCCGACGAAAAACGTGATTTCGTTATCTTTGTACTGGTACAGTAATTGCAGACACACCCGCAGGGTACAACAAACTGTAACATTTATGTGGATTCTTGTTTATATCTCTTGTTTGGAAAACTTTCTCAATACTGCAAAATGAAATAGATTAATTTCCGAATATTCTGAATACTAAGCATATTATTTTTATTGCATTATATATACGCAGATGTACATTGAATGCGTGAAACACAGAGTTATTTTGTATAACTCAAAAGCAAAACTGAATCAGTTCTGACCACGAGCTGATTAATCGATCATTCAATCAATTACATGCGAAATACGTACTATCAAATGCAAATTTTAGTGAATTAAATTTGCAGATAGCACGAATTACAAGACTAAATATTGATACTTAAAAGTTACTTGATTATATATTTAGAACAGAGAACTGACATATAACAATTTGATTTTACTCATGTTACTTCAATTCTTTCTAACCGCTTAAAATGGTTTTTTTTTTTGCGTAGACATTAATAGTTTCATCTATCAATGACTTTAAAAGTTAAAAAACGTGAGGATGGTTGAAATTGATTATCAAGTTTCAAAGAGAGTGAATATTTTCAGATAAAATAAAACAAAACTTCTACTAATTCTATGTAAAGTATTAAAGTCTCAACAAGTTCCTTCATTAGTTTCTCTTTAAAAGTGCCGACTATTTTTAGTCATTTTCTATTAGGATATAGAATGGATGACGGTTGTAATGCATCATTGCTTGTACGACCTCCAAGCTCTTTTGCTATTACTTGAATATAATCAAATGTTGAATACAAACTTAATTTAAAAAATCATATTAATCTAGCTTTTCAATTTATTTTATCATAATTTTTTCCTGTTATTTTTCCATGTAGGATGGTATAGTTAAGGGAGCACTACTAAATATTACCTGCAAAATTAGGTTTAAAAACGAATTTATTTTTATGATTTTGTCTGGACTCAAAACAAAAAACTAGTTTTTGAGAGGCTTTTTATGCATTCATTTTTATTAAATCAATGTGTTTACAATATTAAGTCAAGCAGTTTTGCTGACGACAACACATTAGCTTTTCAGTGCACCAAGTTTTCAGATGATTTTAGTAAGCTTTTTGTGGTTAGATTTATGCTGATCCTTGTGAACTCTCAGAAATAGATAAAGTATTTTGTATTGAAAGTTTCCATTATATAAAAGTCAAACCCTTTTAAGTCTTCTAAATTGATCTAGTGCAAATTATTTGTTTACATTCAATCTAGAAATGCGGCATTGCAGTTTTTTTGTTTCTAATTATTTTACCTTTCTACCTACTATAAAGTATTATATAATTTGGGAAATGAAGGGTTCAAAAAAGCATGCTGACTTGTTTCGCTGATTTTATTGAATCTATAATTGAACTATACTGAGTGTTAGCTATTGTCTCAATAAATAATGAGCAAGTAAAGGTCAAAAAATGCTAATTTTTAGGATAATTTTTGATATTATATATTGCAAGGGGAAGGAGAACAATAAATGTTACTAAAAGTCACATCAGAGACCGAAAAAAAAATGAAATTTTTAAATCAAAAAATCAAAAGCATTCGGAACTGTAATTTCTAATAAATTTATCCTTTAATGTTCTGTATTTTAGCCATTTTCTATTAGGAGATAGAATAGATGATGGTGATAATGCATCACTGCTTGTATGATCTCCTTTTGCTATTACTTGAATAAAATCTTGAGCTAATAGTGATTGTGAGTATCAGTCAGTTATGAACCAAAAATTTCATGTTCTCTTATGATAAAAGTAAACAAGACTAAAATTACAAGTTTGCATGCATACTTCTCCCAAATAATAGCATAAATTGGAAGTTTAAATGAAAGTAAAAAAAAAGCTACAAGTTATATTATATGATAACAGTTATAATGGGAAGGGAAACTGCAAAAAAAGAACAAATATATCGAGGTAATAGAATGAATGTTGGGTATTTAAGCTACGAAAACAAAGGTATGAAAATTTGAAAATAGTCTGTGTTTAGCACAAGCTATTATTTCTGAAAGAACTAATACAGTAGTTAAATTCCGAACAACGTGGAATTCTGCCATTCAAGCTTGATAAAAATGCCTGTAAAGAACCGTTGAAGAGCAAACTCGGACATTAATCGCACACTGATGAGTACTTTGAGCTATTTAATCTTTTTAGATCTTTCAACCTAATTTGTTCTTGTCAATTTACTCTTCGAATTGATGTAATAAAAATATTTCGTGCACTGATGCAATGTTACCATTGAAAAACATAAGTAATAAAAAATGATCGAAATCGATTAGCGCGAAACTTACTCAATAATGAAGATCGTCTACACGTAACAGCAGAAAATTTTGAATCATTATTTATTTTCACAGAAGTACCTTCGAGAATCTATTTTTCGGTTCCTATTGTTGCATTTTACATTTCTAGTCGATGTATCATCAATCATCTTCCAAATTTGGCATTGAAAACTGGTTTTAATTTAACTGACCAGCTATGAGATAATTTTAGAAGAGTATTTTAGAAGAGAAGGTTTACAAAGAAACAAATATTAAACAAAATTAAGCTTTCAACATGATATAAAAGGATCTATTTGATGTCAATTTTTGAATTGCAATCTTCTTTCTGTTTATTAAAAATTCATCTGAGCACATATCATTTCATTTTTGAATAAAATTCGGTTTAAAAATCAAATGAGGAAAAAATGTTTTCCTCTCCCTTTAAAAGTTCCAGTTTCAATACAAATATTGTAAATAAATAATTCATAAAAAAAACCTTCGAAAAAAGTTAGCAAAGAGGTGTCATAAATGAACATTGATGTAAGAAATAAATCAATTACATTAATCGAAGTATATCTTTCGTTCTTGATAAACAAGGTCAATTCCCCAATCAAACTGCCAAAAATAATGCCCAATTACAGAGAGCTGATGAGCCATTTGATCCTTCATATTTCGATGTCTTACTTGATTTTCCTTACATTTCTATAAATTTGATTCAACTTAATATTTATTCATTTTTCTCGATTAATTCGAGTAAAAATATATTGTTTTGCTGTTCCACATCTATGCTTAAACCGAGTGGAGATGAAATTCATTTGGTACAGAACTAAATGAAATGAATCATCTTCGAAATACGGACATGTGCCTAGCATAACAATACTAATGAAGAGACAACAATGAATATGTGCAGATATTAGTCAAAACTTTGTTTTAC